CCCCAAAACCCCAAAACCCCAAAACCCCTGAAGGCATAATTTAAGAGTAATAGGTAATAAGAAAAAATTATAAATCTTGAAAATTACTACACTTATTTTAATTGATTATATGCTTTAATTGATAAAATCATTAGATAGGAACGGAGCTCCAATCAGCTTTAACTACAAGGGAAAGTATTAACATTAGACAACTTTAGGCGGATTACTAACAATAATATAAATTTGTAGCTTGCTAACATTCTTCTTTATTATGGTTAAAAAGGTTATGGACAGAGATATGCTAATATGAAATAAGAGCAAGTACATTAGTGCATTAAATGAGGACTAAAAATATCATATGGATTTTAATAACTTTGATCTTGCTTTTGGTATAAAATTCGTATAAAATTCAGACCGACATCGATATGAGAATGAAACTGTAAGTAAGTATCTAAATATTAGCTTCTAATACTACAACGTTACTTACTATAAAAGCGAAGAAGATGGCTAGTTAGAGACTGAGAGATCTATAATTACTATTCCTTATGAAAGATGCCAATAAAATAGATTTTTGGGAAAGACCTAAGAAATGGAAAAAATTGGGCTTGATAGAGATGGTTGGTTCTGTATATCTGACCTTGATGCAAATGTAATAGGCCAGGAAATGAGCCTAATAAGGAAAATAGTCCGAATAACTGTGAGTCCATGTCAAAATAATACCCAAACAAATTCTTCCCAAACTACAATAACTAATATTAATGAGTCAATATTAGATAGCAATAATGATTAGAACTTAAGGATAAATAATAATTCACAAATATGCGCATCAGAATATGAGATATCATAGTATATTCACAAAGTCTAATTTATGGTTGCATATATTAACAAGTATTTTGACTAAGACGACTTTAAAGAGCCGATAAAAAGTGAGATTCAAGTATAATTTTACAATGCACAAGAGGGATTTGCTTTTAACTCAATTTTAAATGTTTAGAAGAATTATCTGGTAACTCATGATCATTGGTTTTCAGATATTTTTAGTTCAGAACTATATGAATTTTTCTCAGTTGAGTAAACTAAGACTGTCTTTGGATCAATCAAGCCTGGTGTTTGGGAAATGTTTAATGTACTTATATATTGTAAGGACTAAGAGTTTTATATTGAGAGATAAGTTACAACCGTTGCATAAATTATGACTCTAGTTGGAGGCTTCATGAATATACTCTTTTTAATTGCAAGGTTATTAACGAAAATTTATAATAAGCAAGTATTTTACTGGGATTTAATTAACAAAATATTCAAATTTGAAAATCCTGAAAAATCTCTAAAGTAAAATCACGATAATAAATATTCCATTTATCAACATAGAGACCAATTTAATAAAAAGGATTTGAAGGAAAAAGTATTCTCGAAAATACACTCAAAAAAATATAAGGGGGTCAGAGATATTTGTAAATTTTATCTGATGCAATGCCGAAAGACTTAAAGTTATAATTATCATTACTATTAAAATGGCTCGTAAAAGCTTGATAAAATCCTTGACATAGCCTCTTTATTGAAAACCGTCAGAAAAACTAAACAGATTGCCAAACTTTTACTCAAAAAAAGTCAATATTCCCTCGTTCCTTACATGAGTTATAATACGCTTCCATTTCATGAAATATAATCCCCTTAAAAAATTACAAACTCAAAGTAAATTATGAAAGAATAGAAGCGTAATTTGGAGTAGCATTTAACAAAAATTTGCTCGTAATATGACAAAAAACTATCATAGGAAATTATTGATGATATTTGTCAAGTTAAGAAAAAGAATTAAAAGTTAGATACTGAAACAAAGATGAGCGCTAATACTCTAAAACTAGATGCGAAATTCAGTTCAAGAAAACTAATTAAAAAAAAGAAAAGGAGATAGGCCACTGCTTCAACTACTTGTAGAAATCATGATATTGAAAGCTCTTTCAAAGCTAAAATAGTGCCAATCTACATTAATGATTTCAAAATATGACTTCCGATTGAAAGTTTATTTTAATGACTGAAAATGGATATGCTTGTGTTTATAAATATATCTGTAATTAATTATGAGATTTTTGCTATCTAATAGAACTATGTATTTCTTTTTTAAATGATTAGACTCTTGGGGTTTTGGGGTTTTGGGG